TTCAAAGTGTTTATTACTCAAAATTGCAGATATTACTGCTGTGCCTAGGCTAGATCATCCATAAAGTACTTAGCTCCTACCTACAGGCTAAAAATGTGACTTACAGTCTGTTTTCTGTTTGTCTTGGTAAAATTACACATAGCACTTTATTTCATTCTCAGTGTTTGGATGATAAATTTTATGGTCACACTAGTTATTGAGAAAACAATGAAGACTTTCAAACAGAAGTATATTGATTCCCCAGCACCACTGCAGGAACACAAGTATGCCACAGAATAGGTTCTATAGGCCTTAAGAATAAAATTATGGAACTTATTATTTAACTGACCATCGAAAGGAGTGAAATTTTTTTTAAAGAAAGACAGTTAATAGATAATAGCCTCATTTTTCTAAGAAGCACCTAAGTAGCAGGCCAAAGCTGTTCAACGTAGTTAAACCTAGACTCTTGAGGAGGACTCCTTGGATTTCAATCCCAGATCCAAATACCTAATCTCTCAAGCTTCAGTTTCCTCATCTATAAAAAAGTAGTTAATAGTTTCTGTAGCATAAGATGATGTGGAAATTAAATGAGATAACACATTTCAAAGTATTTAGCACAGTACCTGTCACATGCTAAGCACTCAACAAATGTGTTTATTACTATTTAATAATATGATATACCCTCAATAAAGAACTCAGCTGATAAACTGAGCATGTAACTGACCTTTCAGGTATACTGCAAATACATTCCTAAATATCACGTGAAAGAAATGCACATAGATAGTTCCAGTTTTCTTTTTATCTATGCTAGAGAAGATAAATTCGCAATTAATCAAAATCAAAGTAGACAGTACATAAATATGTATAATTTAAGATTCCAAAATAATTGAGTCATTCATCTATTTTTCAGTCATTCAATAAATATAAATTCAGAGAAAGCTATAATAGGTCAGTGTGCCTTTTAATTAATACTGGAACACACACTTGAACTTGCTGCCACTTAAACATGCTAACGGGAAGCAAGTCCCTAATTCACTGCATAACTTGTTCAGTTAGAGAAGATTCATTTTCTATAAAGAAGTAGATATTCAGTAAATAATTTGCATAAATCTATTTAAATGCCTCAAAGATGAAAACCCAGGGAATAAGTGAGCGGAACTGACATTCTTTTTCTTTTGATGAATTTAATTAACGACAAACTTTCAGTGACCAAAACTAACCAACAAAAGCTTTCTAAAAAATATATTTAATACAAATTTTAAATTGGATTCTGAGATATTCTGAGGTACTCTTGAGGTACTCTGAGATATTCTTGATGTATTGGCAGGGAGGAGGAAAGAGAAAATTAGTGGAGTGGACACTAATATCTACAGTACCATGCAAAGAACTACAATTACTAAAATTCTTTATATATATAAAGTCAATACACTGTATTATTAAAATAAAGGATTGGGCTTCCCTGGTGGCGCAGTGGTTGGGAGTCCGTCTGCCGATACAGGGGACACAGGTTCGTGCCCCGGTCCGGGAGAATCCTACATGACGTGGAGCGGCTGGGCCCGTGAGCCATGGCCGCTGGGCCTGCATGTCCGGAGCCTGTGCTCCGCGGTGGGGGAGGCCACAGCAGTGAGAGGCCCGCGTACCGCCAAAAAAAAATAATAATAAATAAAAATAAAATAAAGGAAAAAAGGTTAACATTTGCACTGCCTATGAAAAATAAAGGACAATAGGAACTTCTTTTTTTAAGTTTTTTTGATGTGGACCATTTTTTAAGTCTTTATTGAATTTGTTACAATATTGCTTCTGTTTTATGTTTTGGTTTTTTGGCCGGGAGGCATATGGATCTTAGCTTCCTGACAGGGATCAGGGATCAAACCCGCACCCCCTCTGTTGGAAGGCGAAGTCTTAACCTCTGGACTGCCAGGGAAGTCCCAATAGGAATTTAGATAAGTTGAAAGCAACATACCCCGTATAATAGTTTAGGAATCAGAACTCCCTTTGCTCATTTGATTATTACACGTTATTAAAATCTGACAGGACGTTTTATTCTATTATTACTGTTTTTCAAAGAAGTAGAAGCAAACAGTGAAGTTTTAAAGGCTTGTTTATCTCTGTTAAAGTATTTTGTTTCAATTTTGAAGTCATAATTTAGATTTTTCTTCTAAAAATAAGTATAACTTTATGAAATTTGATGTTTACCTGTACATTTATCCATGCACCACACACTTCATGGCATCTCCAATGTACCCTCTCTGTGGTAGGTACGGGATACAGAAATAAAAGCAGAATCCAGGAAGGAGACATATAAGTGCATATTTATAATACAGGGTAATAAGCACAAAGAAACATGGAGTTATTTGAGCCCATAAGATGGCACATACTCAGCTGGGTATGAGGGATCTGCCAGGAAGTAACATCAGATTAAAGTCTTGAAAGCTGAACTTGAGTTCATCAAAAGGGAGGAGCACAGGGGGCAGCATTCTGGACAGACTCTCTATGTCAAGGCTAAATCAAGACAGTGGGAAAGGATTCACAATTTGGAAAACTGCAATACTAAGATATGGCAAAGGTGAGCCTGTAGAGCTTTGTCATGGAAGCTGCCACATTAAGCTACATAGTGAGATTTGTGTTTCAGAAATATGGCCCAGCAGCAATGCAAAAAATGATTAACCGAAGATGAGACTGAGGTAGGAAAATCAAGACCTTAGCTGTTGCAGCTGGCGAGCATGGGGTAGGGGAAGCAGTGGGTGGATTAATGAGCTATTAAAAAGGCCAAAGGAATAGAGACTCATGACTAATAAACATTAGTTAATAGAGAAGAAAATAGCACAGTGAGCTCTAGGTTTTGGCCTGGGTAACTAGATGCTGAGAAAAAAGGGAAAGACTGCAAAGAGAAGATTTACATTAGAGCATAAACTGAATATGAAAATATCTGGGAATTTTAAGACATCATTAAATCTACTTATTATGCTGCAAAACTCTGTTAGCTAGAAAGATTGATAGAATTTCCCAAGGTGTCTAATATATAAACGTGGAGTAGTTTTCCTACTTCAGCTTTTCTGCTTGCTTAGTATTTTCAGTTGGTCATTTCAATTTACAATTGGTCATTTTTAGTTAATCCATTCATCTCCGTGAGGTTAGTTAATGGAAGCATTCCATTTTTAACCTAACAGTGGTGGATAATTTTCTGGAAGTTCTCCAGAGACACTCTGAAAAGCCAAAATTCAACTTTAATTTTCTGAGTACCTTTTCTGCTTAAAGTTACTGAAGTGAATTGTCTTTGCTAGGAAAAATAGCAAGCATTAACACTTAAAAATTCAATTTACTACATAAATATTTCAGATTATTTTACATTGGGGTAGCAATTTTTCTTGCTTGAGAACCGTTTTGTGATGGCACAAGAGAAGAATGCGTACTGCATATGAGCTACAATTGGGGATTTGTATATGTCCAGTCACAAATACATTGTTTTGAATTGGACTTAGTCAAATAGCAGGTCTGAATAATTTTTCACTGAATTCAAATTGTTTAGATTAATAAGTGAACTGCTTGGTTGTCTGCCATCATATAGATACCACCCAAGATCATTTTATCAAATTAATAATTAATTAAACCAAAACAAATGCCTGGCTTATTGCTCTAAAACAAGAATAAGATGAAACTTGCCATTACTTAAATGATGTAGTCTATTCAACAAAACTTGTGTCAACAGTTAACATGCTTTACACAAAACACTGCTGCAACAAAATGAGTAGCTTCCAAGTGACACTTTATGTGTATTATTTATACTAGTAATATTGTCATCATTAGTTAAGATGCCATATAAAGTATAATTTTTCACTACCTGAATTTTATAATTTTCTCAGCCAGAACATCATATAAATGTCTAAAAAGTATTTTTTTCAAATAATTGAACACCTCTTTTTCAAGCTTTAATCCCCTAGTCACCAAGATCATGGGTTCTTTGCCCCCATCCCAAATCCTTCCCTCTTTGCCTGTGATTGTTCGGAACCCTGCTGCACTGTGAGCAGGGGGACATCAGAACCAAGGGCCCCCCAGAAGGTTTCACATCACTGTCTTCAACCTAACCTAGTATCCTGCCATATGATGTTAATGTTACATTCAAAACCATTAACAACTTTTCATGTCTATTCAGATTTCATTGGACTTATAGCGATTTTTATAAAATAGTTCAGTTATATATGCAATAGAAACAAAGTATTCTATTTTAAAGAAAAGTCTAAGTTACTGGCAGCAACATAGAACTGCTTTAGTACTTCTTGATTTCAGACAAAGGCATTAGTATTATAAACCAGTAATAATTCATTTTTAGATATTTAGCCAGCCATGGATACCAGGAAATCATGAAGCACGGAAGCATGTCAGTAGCAGTGCTACATCCCGTCTGTGTGAACCTGTACCCTACAACATCAACACCAGCTGTCACTTAAGAAATCCAAAACCCATAGCTTTAAAAAATATTCTCCAGGGAGCTTCCCTGGTGGCACAGTGGTTGAGGGTCCGCCTGCTGATGCAGGGGACGCGGGTTCGTGCCCCGGTCCAGGAGGATCCCACATGCCGCGGAGCGGCTGGGCCCGTGAGCCACGGCCGCTGAGCCTGTGCGTCCGGAGCCTGTGCTCCGCAACGGGAGAGGCCACGGCGGTGAGAGGCCCACGTACCACAAAGAAAAAAAATAAAAAAACGTTCTCCAGAAAGACTAAATATCACTTTAGCCTGGTGTGGGAAAACAGTGGCGATGAGTGGAATGAGATTAGGAAACCTGCTTTCGTGGTGATGGAGATTTGGGGCAAGTGTATGGTTTTATTTCCTTGCCTTAAACCAATATTTTTGTAGGAAAAGTATGTTTTTCTTATGGACATTGTACAGTAACCATCATTAACAAAGGTAGAAAGTGCTAATTTCCCCTTGAGGACACTTTTTTTCAATATGACTGAAGGATGAACTTTACATGAAAATTATTACAAATACTTCTACACCTAGTAAACATGATTGGGGAAAAAAGCTTTTTAAGACAAATGGCAAAGGGTTTGTCTTTAATGAATTCTTTGGTTATAAACAGGTCTTGAGTGACATTTGCTCTGTGTAGTATTTGGTTTTGCTGGTGTCTGTTCTGTGTGTCACTTGAGGACTAGAATGAAATTAATTGTCCTGGGTTACAGCTCATAGAACATACTTAATACAATTTACCTTGCTTTAATGTAAAATAATAATAGAATGAAAATATATCTTTAGATCTGAAATAGCATATATTATTTACAAAGCTACTGCTGAGCATCTTGCATAAACTTTTCATCCTTTTAAAAATAAAAATTCACGTGTTCTTAACAGGAAGCAGAAACAAAGCTGAAATCCAAACTCTTTGACATCTTCCTGTGACTCTTGACATGATGTTTCTCATTCACTGGCCCACAGATTCCTGAGTTACATAAAGCATAATGAAACATAATTAGCATAACCTGGTTATTCTACAATAACTTATTATCACTTTAGCAAAGCAAAAATGTCTGGAAGAGGTGATGCAAACTACTGCCAAAACCAACAGTTCCTATTATAAATACTCAAGGAAAAAAATGTTTATGAACTATGAAAATTTTGATTCTAATCAGTGAAGAAAATAAGCTAATATTGATTCATTCATAGCACCAAGTATATGGGAATATGTGACAATAAAATAGGAGAATCCAGAAAAACTGAGAGGGAAAAAAAATAAGACTACATGAAAAATTGTAAAAGAAACTAGCCTGTGGTGACAAAAGAAACAATATATATCTGCAGTGTAATAGATTCACTTTTAGATTAGTTGTTACATGTTCTCTGGTGGAAAAAAGATGCTTATTTTTGTGTAACTATATATTCTCCTATAATATTGTTTAAAAAAGCATATCCAAGCACATAGTGAATGACTAGGTCTTTTTAAAACTAAAAAATGTAGATGGATTAATGGCCTATGCATATTGAATTTTATTTGGAATACCATTTTGAAGCAACTTACATTTTTTCTGTGCCTGGGGGCATTATTTTCTATACCATTGCTATCATCTGATTTCCTGTAGAGAAAACAAGAAAGAAAATTACTAGATGTTTACATTGCATAAAACTAAGGTCAGTACACCACTTATATCATGGCCATCAGGTTAAAATTTAAAAGGTCAATACAGACAGAATTTATTCTTCCTAAAAATGTTTTACTCATAGTGTTGATTTTATTTGTATGCCATTGCTTGGAGAGGAACTGTTGCCACAGATGACAGTGACAAAGGCCTGTTTCTTTTATGCATAGGGAGAATTGCTTCTCCCCAAGCATGAGTGGAGGCTTGGGTATATAGCCTAACTTATATGTTGCTTTGACACATGCAAGATAATAGCCAATCAGGAGCTCAGCTAGTATGTGCAATACAGGTGCTGTAATTCAACATGTTTATTACATTGAATTAGAGGTTAAACGTGGTTCTTTATCTACCCAATGTGCATCAGAGTAAGACCACAATGTGGGCTCCAGATTCTTAAGGAAAACTAAACTAGGTTACAAGGGTATATAATAAATACCCTTCTAGATGTTATTGGCAGGCTTGAGCTCATTAAACTAGTACCACCAGATAATAAATTCAACAACCTAATCGGCTGTCTAAAAATTTGGCGGATGGGGCAGGTAGGTTAAATATTGTGTGAAATTGTGTGGGTTAAATATCTGGGTGGATCAGATAAATGCTGTTTGAAATGACTAGCTTGTTTTGATGTTATACGCTTATTTAGTAGTGTACTATTTTTAAAAGTCATTTTCACCAAGAAATTCTATGAATCGCTGGTATCTAAACACATATATAAGCATCAAATATAAAATATATTGATAAACAATATTCTCTGTAAAGAAAAATTTATCTCCTAAACTAAAAATTCTAAAAACAGCATTGGTGAAAAGTTGCTCTAAATGAGTACAAGTGCCCTTGATACTTGATTTAAATCTAAAGATACTGAAATAACCTAAAGATGAGAAATGTGACAGCAAGGGACTGGATAGAAACACTGGGGAGGCTGAGCTGGGAGAACAAAAGAATCCAGGCAAGGGAGTAGTTGTTTCAAATACCTGAATGACGGTCATGTTTTTTATATGACTCTGAGTATAAGAAAGGTAATCAATACATGGGAACCAGAAAGATAAAATGTTCAAATCAATACAAACAAGATGTCCAAGTTCTCTGGAAAGAGATTCAAATTCCTTCCAACCATGAGAGTCTCTGATTCTAAGACAACACTTTTTTCCTATCTGGGGTTATGGAACTCCTGACCCATAAAATAATTATTTTATGCCCTTAATTATTATTTTATGCTCTTAATTTAGAAGTTCATATCCTGTTGATTTAAGTTACCTGCCATGTGTGAACTGAGTAAAAAATAACTTTGAATAATGTCTACGAATATCTGCATGACAGCTGTCCGCCCCACTCCTGCTCTTTAACCGTGGCTACAGCACTCACACCTCAGAGCCCCTGTTGACTGAAAAAGATAAACTTCAGGTGTCATTTTGGGTTGGTAATAGTTGTTTAGCCCTCCCATTTCCTAGGTTTCTTTCGGCTCCTTTAATCTGGTCTCATTTTCTTGGTCCCCAGCCCTTGGCAGTGTTACTTGGACTTTAAGCACCTCTCTCACTAGGCTCCACTGTCAGTTCTCTGGCTTGGTGGGCCCAGTAACTCCCACGTTCACCAAACCAAATGATATCCCTGGTAATTTTCTTCCTAGTTCTCCTCATGCTCCGCTCAACTCTAAACAAAGGAGACTGTAACAGAAATATGCCACAATTTGTGTTCCTTCAAAACTAATGACACACAATTCTAGCCCAGTGATTTTCAACACTGAATTCTGAGAATCAGAATCAGTGATAGGCACTTTAAAGAAACACAGATGCCCAGGCACCCATTCCAGAGGTTCTGATCTAAGATATCCAGTTAGGTCTGAGTAACTGTAATTTTAAGGAGCATCCTAAGTGATCAAAAATATAGCCAGGGTTGAGAATCATTGCTTTACACAAATAATACTTCCTCATGGTTCTTGAGTGCCTCCTGTGCATCAAAGCCTATGCTAAGGATTTTTACACATAGAAAGTCATTTAATCCAGAAACCTTATGTGGTAAGTAATATCATTAAACCCATTTTGTTGAAGAGAAAACTGAAGCACAGAGAGGTGAAAGTAAGTGGTGGAGGGGGATTCTGTTGCATGCAGGTAAATGCCAAATGCCATTCTTCACCACAACATGGACATCTATAGAAAATAACACACACGTTATATACTCTTGTACTTTTTTCCTCTAACTGCAAACATTTTATTTAATTTCATATTTATCTGTATTTTACGCATGTGAAAATTAACCTATAAAAAATAATACTTACAGCTGTTCAATTTGTTCAAATTCCTTCCCATCATCTGTGTAACAAAAGAAGAATTTAACTCTTAAGGTTGCTTTATTATTCTTACAAAGCATATATGCTCAATTCTACTTTCCCCTGAATTCAACATCCCCTGACTGCCTGTGCTGTTTTCCCGCTCTGAAATGAGAGAGATGGGCCCCATCAGACAGCTGCCCCTCCATCATGTCCACTCCTTCCCTGCTCTCCCGACTTACAAAATTGCCTGCAGTTTTGATCAAGCATAGTCTGGTGCCTGGGATCATCAAAAATAGAACTGACTGATTTGTAATTATTTAAGTTATGAAAAATTTAGTACAAAATAAGGAAAAAATATAGAATATAAAATAAATTTTCTTAGGGGACCATTGGTTTCTCAGTCTGTTATCCATCAGGCACAGGCTTTGAAAACAGAAAGCTGGCAGGCAGTGTCTTTTATGAGAATTTCAGAATGTTTGATAAAACATTTTTAAAAATGAGTTATCTAAATGAAAGAATAATTGTTTGTCTTTGAGATCTTTTATATTAAGCTAATGCAGAATTTTCTAATATTCCAGTACCAGTGCACATATCACTTAATTGGTGTGCTGGTCCCAGTAACACCAAAGAAAAGGGAAAAAAGGTATATTTTAACATTAAAATTTTTAGGAAGTTGATACAGGAAGACCATCAATATAAGCTCATAGCTCACTGTCACCATTGTTATTAACATAAATACCACTACAAAAAACAAAAGTTAGATTTTTTTCTAAAGCCACCGTAATGGATTAAGTCATAACATGAGAATTATCTAAAAAAAAGAAATCCTACCTGAGTGCTTCTTTTTCTTTTGGGTGTACATTTCAAAAAGCAGAATAATAGCCACTAAAAGAACAACCTCAACAGCTATTCCAAGAAATGCTTTGAGAGGCACCCAATAACTCAGCACGACAAGTTCAATGTGTTCTTCACTCTCGCCTAATTGGAATATTGCATGGCACCAGTAAGATCCCTGATCTTCCTCTGAAAGTTGCATTATCTTGAGCCTTGTTTCATTAGCATTTTTTCCATTGATCACATACTTATTGTTCATTGGAACACCAACAGGAACCTAATAGAAGGAGACATTAAAATCCATTCCTATCATATTGCATAAAAGATACATGTCCTGAATGATCTAGTTTTGAGTGAAAGCTACAAGATAGTACCAAGAAAACTGCTTACCAGAAAAAGGGCATTAGGGACTTCCCTGGTGGCGCAGTGGTTAAGAATCCGCCTGCCAATGCAGAGGACAGGGGTTCAAGCCTGGGCCAGGGCAACTAAGCCTGTATGCCACAGTTACTGAGCCTGTGCTCTAGAGCCCGCTAGCCACACCTGCTGAGCCCGCGAGCCATGACTACTGAAGCCCGCGCACCTAGAGCCCGTGCTCCACAACAACAGAAGCCACCGCAATGAGAAGCCCGCGCACCGCAACGAAGAGTAGAACCTGCTTGCCGCAACTAGAGAAACCACGAGCGCAGCAACGAAGATCCAATGCAGCCAAAAATAAATAAATTTATTAAAGAAGGGAGCACATTAAAGTATGTGAGAAGTTATACATACAGAGCTCAAGTCTTACCATAGTTTGATCTTTCAAAGGTAGCAAACAAAGGAAAAGTACACTTTGCTTTAACTACTTAGCACTGAATGTTTGAAACTACAGTGTGCAAGTCATCGTGGGTAAATATTCTATGCGAATTAGAAATACAGAAATTTTCCAGCCATCTGGGTTTCATGTTACAATCCCTGACTAGTTCAGAATACTTCCTCCTTCACAATTGCAGGTATACATTCATTAAATCAACTATTAAATTAATGAAGCTATTATATCTGATCATTCCTGTAAAGGAAGTTCACTGGCTCATGGCATTGGGAGTTCCTCAAACTGGAACTGAAGACGAAATCTTCAGGCCTTTGAAGCTGATGTAGAAGAAATGGTAGAAATCCCTCTAAGCCTGGTATACATGGTGGTCTGCGCACCTTCTGTCTTCTCTCGTAGCTGAATTTCTCTCTCTTTCTGACATGTTGGCTTCTGAGATTCACTGGGTTTTCCTCAGCCTTTTAAGATCCATACTAAGCTATTTGGTGGCTAATTTATTTAATCCATTTAAATTAAATTTTATTCTCAGGCCATTTGATGCCTTCATTGCTCTATCACTCAACTGCACTGCTCAGTAAATGCTAATTTGCATACAAATATTCTTGGAGGTTACCTGATGAAGAACTGTCTGTGAGTTTATTATTTGCCCAAAAAATTATAGCAACCTGGCTCACTGTGCACAGCATTGCCTATGATGCTTGTTACAAATGTACTCTAACTCAGAGCTGATAAATCAAAGTACTGCATGTTTAATAGGTGCCCCAGGTGAGTCTGATGAAGATGATGGTTCGCCTACTTTTTGAAAAAACACTTGACCTAAAGTTTTGACTTGCACCCTCTTCCCTGCACTTTTCTCATATCCTAACATAACCCATGCTTAGGGCCAAATTGAGAGAAACTTAGTATAGCAAATGGAGAGAAGTACAGACTACATTCTAAAAGTTTAATATAATTAGACAGGCTTTTTCTGTCTAGTATCACATATGCATAAATAAATTAGGCTATGTAATTCAAAAACTATGTCTGTTACTTGTTTTTACAAATTTACATGCTCTTTAAAAATATTTCCATACACAAAATGATTGCCTTTCCTAATCATCAATAACAAGATAAGTACAAATATTAATAGTTTAAATCTACTCCTAAGTGATTTGGAGCTATCTCTTTAAAAACTCAAACCAATCACAGAATCGGTAACTCACCCTTTTAAGTCATTCCCTCTGTCGTCAACAGTCTACAATAGCATCGATATTGTCTAAGAAGGAATTTAATATTTCACTAAGATCTACCCTGTCTCATACCGTTCCTTCTAGAATTGCCTTTACAAGACTTCAATTTCAATGCTCATTAGCACCAGGGCAATAAAAGGGTGTCCCCTAAAGGACAATGTCCTAAATTTCCCTGCTATTAGAGGCTATTTGGGAGGAAGAAAACCAGAAATGATTTCTTAAGTACTCATGTTTTTCTTAATATCAGCTCTTTGAAAAGCCATTAATTCTTTAATAGGAATTTAAAGTATCTGGCTTCCCTTAGGTCTCTGGAAGTCCAAAAGAGGTCAGTGACACTAAAAGAACCTAAAACCTGAGTTTAAGTTACCAAATTTTCATTCTTTTCTCAGATGCTGCCAGTGTATTGCATTCTATCACAAATGTTTCCAGAGACAGAAGCAGGAAAAGAAAACTCCCTTTCTTTTTTTCTAGTTACTCTCATGAAATGATAAGGAAAAAAAGAATCTTTGTTGTTGGGGTTATATCTAAACTTGTCAACTAAAAATGAACTGTAACTTTCTTTCATAGAATTTTAATAAATGGCTACATCTAAAAAACAAAGTACCACTTAATGAAACATTAAGGGTATCTTCAGATGTATAATGTAATATGCTAAAAACACCAAATGACAGCTCCATTCATCACTGTTCTTTCTTCATGAACACATATTAAGGAACAAGATAACAGAAGTATAAATAGTCCTAAGAACTGTGAGTGTATTATAATCTTATTATTTATCAAATAAAAGTTTTTATTTTGTTTTCTTCAAGTCAAAGAAATATGATCTTACCTGTACACTCCCATTACTACGGTACCAGGTCCAATTTAAAGGAAAACAGTCTTGACATTTACACATCAAGACAACTGAATCCCCTACATAAGTGATCAACGGTTTCTTTTTCTCATGAAGTTCAGGGACTAAGAAAAATGGAGAGAAACATATGTTACTGAAAGAGTTTGAATAGGGGGAATGTATTCAAGTTGAATAGACGTATAGTTGTAGTAGGTAGGTGGTGCAATATAATTGTCAGTAATATAGAAACAGAAGGAAGGTCTTCTATTATTGAGCCAATAACAATTACAAGTATTGTAATAGACTGTTTGTTACATGCTTTGGATAAGAAAGAAACTTCATGTTTTCAAGACTGTTCTTTCTTCCCACCTACTAAGTTACGTTAGAGCAAATATTTTTTCAAAGTTTACCCTTAAATGGCACTCTAGTGAGGAGACAAAATTTTCAGGATTTAAAATTTTTATTTGACACATTTATGAAAAGAGTTGGAGAAGATGGGAAGATGAGAAAGGAGCAAAGGAAATTTAAGAGAAAGAGAAAAGAATAGGAAAGAAAATGAGATAAAAAACACTTTGGGGCTTCCCTGGTGGTGCAGTGGTTGAGAGTCCGCCTGCCGATGCAGAGGACACGGGTTCGTGCCCCGGTCCGGGAAGATCCTACATGCCGTGGAGTGGCTGGGCCCATGAGCCATCGCCGCTGAGTCTGCGTGTCCAGAGCCTGTGCTCCACAACGGGAGAGGCCACAACAGTGAGAGGCAGGCCCACATACCAAAAAAAACAAAAAACAAAACAAAACCCACTTTCACGTGGTTTTGTAGGAAAAAAACAAAAACTAATATTCATTGTGATAAATTTCTTAAAGTTTGAAGCAGATGCCATTAGTAACAATAAAAATGAGCACTGAATTTAGAAAAATTAAGTTTTAAGGCTATGAATAACTTGGTAAAGAAAATTAAAGCATAAGAACATAAGCAAAGCAATAAAAAGCCAACTAGCAGCTTCCATGGTGAAATCAGTTCCTTCTGATTGACCTCAAAAGATATATTATAAAATGTACACTTTTATGAGAGACAGACTTACCAACAAAGATGACTTTTGTTGATTTTTTTTCTTTTACTAATTTTAGCAGGTTTTGTGTTTTGTTTTTCCTTTTTGTTTTTTTGGTTTGCCAGCAGAGAGACAATGTCTAAATTTTTAATACTGTGTTGACAAATTTTATAGATACTGTTTGCTATTCACTTGTTATCCTATTTTTAGATTTTATTTTGGGGAGGGTCAGGGTGGAAAAATGGAAAGATCAATTTTAATTGCTAAAATTAGGTTCACAGATTAAATACATTTTCTAAACGCTCTTGGCTTTCTACTACCAGAAGAATATTGGGCATTTGCTGGATGTATGAACTGTAAAGATGAGGAAGGGGGAAATAAGTGGTAATAAGTGGAAAAGAAATTCTGACTTCTATAACCACTTGTATAGGGGTAAACATAGGGTTGGATTTCTTCACAGGTTCTGTCTTTAGGTGATTAATGTTACAGTGATGAGTGTCGGAAGTCTTCAGTTTTCCTTATGGTTTAACGTGGGCCTAAATACAATTGCACATTATCACCCCCTCCTTCATCAGCAGTGCTGACCAGCAGAGTGTTGAATGAGGCACTGCTAATAATAAAGAGATGCAAATAAGGAAGGTATATCACCAATGAAAGTGTAAATCATAAGATGACAGAGCAATCTGTAAGTCAATGGTTCTCATACTTTTCATAACCAAGGAAATATGTTTTGATAAAACTGAATGATCTACAATTTTACATTACCCAAAGATGTGAACTGCCCATCAGAATTTATAATCACCCCACTAATAGTTTATGAGCACCTAGTAAGGTACCACTAGGGTACTCCTGAGGTAGGAGAGAAGTGAACACATGTGATTGGCATGACTGAAGTCATCCCAGCCAGAAGAAATTGGTGAGTTGACCTTGCCAGAGGATATTCTGAACACTCCTTTCGAATGGCTACTAGTGTCCCACACTCCTTATTGGTTACCATTAGGCTGAGGGACACTAAGGGAAATGTGGTTAATATGTGTCCATTTCAAAGCTCAATGAGCGTTTGAAGTAGTCAGCACAATGAGACAATGATGTGACAAACATATAAGATTTGGGTCCAGGAAATATTAGAATTATAGCTTCAGTGTTACTAGTGTTGAGGACATAGGTTGGTCATACACTTCTACAATGTTACTGTAAAGAATTAAGTACAGGAACACAATATATAAAGGGCTTGGTGTAGAGCAAACACCACAAAATTCGAACTTTTGTTGTCATCATGTACTGGTATTGCTTTTCTTAATTGAATTTTCGTACAATTTGTAATGCCCACAGCCTTCCTTCATTAGCCAGCTTAATGGCATGGATTATTGTCACGTGCAAGAATGATTTCTAGGCCAGTTGGCCATGTGGAACAGAGAAGAAATAAGACACAGGATAAAAGGAGAACTGGAAATTCACCTGAATTCATCTCAGAACCATAGGAATGTATAAAAACACCCCCAAATGTGGAAAAGAGTCCAAACTGAGCCATTTACAGAACACCCAGCCCATCTGAGAAAGGCGATTAAAAGAGATTAAAATGATGAAAAATAAAAGATGAATTCACAGGAGACAAGGCCCAGAAGAATGAAGAAACAGTAGCTTTGAGATGCTGGAGGTGGCACCAGTCCATCCTTTAATAACATATATTAAAAAACTTTTCAGTGAAGCTGTAAAACAAATTCTGCTGCTTGAAACACTTATGCAAGTCCTTGGCTAAAGCAGATGAATAAGAGTTTGTGGAGAGAAACCAAGATGGCAGAGTAGAAGGAGGTGCTCTCACTCCCTCTTGCGAGAACACCAGAATCACAACTAGCTGCTGGACAATCATTGACAGGAAGACACTGGAACTCACGAAAAAAAGATACCCCACATGCAAAGACAAAGGAGAAGCCACAATGAGACGGTAGGAGGGACGCAAGGTTGCCCACTCTCACCACTCTTATTCAACATAGTTTTGGAAGTTTCAGCCACAGCAATCAGAGAAGAAAAGGAAATAAAAGGAATCCAAATCAGAAAAGAAGTAAAGCTGTCACTGTTTGCAGATGACATGATACTATACATAGAGAATCCTAAAGATGCTACCAGAAAACTACTAGACCTAATCAATGAATTTGGTAAAGTAGCAGGATACGAAATTAATGCATAGAAA